CCCCAAAACCCCAAAACCCCATCTGAAATTATTAAGAGTTAATTGAGATAGAAATAAATAAAAATATATTATTTATTTGATGAGTGAAAGTTAAAGTGCATCTTTAACGAGAAATCAAACTAATACAAAGATTGAAGATAACCAGTAATTCGTAAAACTCCAACCAAAAGACAATATTCTAATATCTGGGGTTAGAAAAAATGAGGAAGTAAAGAGGTCAGTTTAAAAGCAAATGTAGACTTTGGACCTCATGCGAAGAATGTCAATTATGCACACGATTGAGAGCACTTTTGAGAAGTTTATCGATGAAAAGCGAAACAACTCAGTTCTGATAGAGGAGGACATGTATGCAAAGGAAAAAGAGAAGGAAAAAGAGAAGGAGAGAGAAAGAGAGTCACTGAGAAAGAAGTCTAGCAACTCAAAACTATTCTTTGACGTGCCAAAGTCTAATGGCAGTCTCATGCGTAAGTGATCTCAGACTATGGTTGCAAATGCTAATAACACAACAAATGGTAAGGCGTAGAACAATATACAGCAGCTTGTCACTCCTAATTTCAAGAAAGGATATAATACTCGCAGAAATGACTTGAAATTCAAGACTATGGCTTAGTACAAAGCAGTGCTAAATGGAGATATATTGACATTCGATCTGATTGGACAAGGTCTAATGCGAAGACCATCTATCAGAGCTCTGGCTTTGGAAAACTCATCTATAGAGGAGTTCGAGAGAGGCCTTGAAGAGAATTAGTCAGACTTTGATGAAGAGCAGTAGCAGTACAATAATAAAAATCAAAGACCTGCTAGTGCAGGAAGGAACAAAGATGATGATGAGAGGTCGATGATACGATCTAGCAGAGAGTTCTGGGAAGAGATCAATACTAAGGACTCTAAGTATAAAAATGCCATTATCATTAAAGGGTACAAAACTGAAAACAATCAATCATAAAATCATTAAGGGAATAGAAAGTTGCTTCGAGATTACGACTAAGAGGAAAGGAATTTCGTACTTGAAGAGAGACGAAAGAGAAGTACATTTGTAAGCCATCATACAAACAGAGAAGAATTCCAAAGCAAAATTGAAAAGATCCAGCGAGCACATGAAATTGAGTTGAAAAACACCAAGACCTTGGCTAAAAACTATGCAGTGGAGTATTTCAAGACTAAAGCACTAGAGCTGACTCAAATCTTTACTAATGAAAGCTACAATGTGATAGAGAAGTATGAAGAGCTTAAGGAAAAGATGCTGCATAAGGACAGTAAAATTACTTAGCTAAATTCTGTTATAACTCGATAGGAGAAGATTATATCAGAACTTAGAAACTACATCAAGGAGAATATAAGCAAGTTCGTTATGAAAATTGAAGCTAACAAGAAGGAGCTCAATAAGGAACTCACCAAAAGACTATCAAACTTAAAGATAGCTCGGGACGATGAAACAAGATATCAATATAGAGCATAGAAGAATGTGTTTGATCTATACAACAGCTATGTCGAGTTAGTTAAACCCTAGAAAAAGATCAAGAAATATGAAAGGCTTGAAAATGAGAATGCCTCCTTGTGGGAACGAGTGCAGTCACTTTAAACTGAAATAGCAGCAATCCAAAATATTTGTGACATCTACTTCTAAGAGGAGCAGAGCTTTAAGCATCGTATTGAAAAACTAGAGTAAGAGAGATATGAAAATTTGCTTGAGATTCAGAACTTAAAGTAGGACATGAATTCAAAAAGTCGTTAGCAATAGGACAGGTATTCGAAGGATATTGAATATCTAAAGGTTAAGTATGATTAGCTAAGAGAGATAGTTGATATAGAAACTAAAGTGAGCTAAGCTATTGCCAGAGCAGCTACTGATAGGTTGGCTGTAGTCCAACGAAGGCTTGATGAGACTAAAATGGTGATGAGAACTCCTAGGCTTTACCGTATATATAGGTAAAAGATGGAGCAGACATAGATTCCTCTTAGTGAGCACTATCAGAGCAAGCACTATGAATCTGAGGTATTAGTCAGACTAAATGAGCAGGCTTTGAAAATGCAGCATAAAAATAGCTAGGACAACAATAATATCCAGCAAAATCTGAGTTTTGATGATCATAGCTATAACAGAAGAAAACTAAGCATAAACTTGAATCAGAATAGCTATTTGAATCAGCATATGTATTTGAATACTAGCACTGAGAATGCAATTTATAATGCTCAGGGTGGTGGATAGACTACTTTTCATACTAGAAATCTATCTACCTAGAATACAAGCCAAATCTAAGACATCTCTAAGATGATAAATCTAACAAGAGATGGCACTCCGAGTGCAGTCTTTAAACGTCGTAATCATAGTTTGCAATAAAATCAGACTCTTAATTTCCATAGACCGAATACTACTGCTTCTAATCCTAAAAGACGCAATATAGGCGGACTAAATTATACAATAGATCATCCATACCCTATGAGCAACAAAATGTAGGCCTTCCAAAATATGTTCGTTAATCATAATAATAGTACGTAATATCAAGACTCTCTACTTTGATATTCAGTGGATATATGAAAAACAATCAGTTTATTAATATTTCAGAATTTTAATCTTAATTTCATAATTCTCAATAAATGTATGCCCTTTGGGGTTTTGGGGTTTTGGGGTTTTGGGG